GCCGGGGACAGCGACGGCGGCGGTAGTCCATTAGGCTTAGGGTTAGGGTTTGAGGATGGATCTACGGAATTTGATTGCATCTCATTGAAGAGTGAGAGAAAGAGAGGGAAAAGGTAGAGAGTGAACTCTCTGAAGAGCGGGGACGTCTGTCAGTGTGAGTCTTAAACAAAAAATACTTTTTGTGGAGGCGCTGCTTTAAGCGTGGGAGATCGACACGTGCTTTTGATTGCTCCAAAAGGGTAGCTGAGAACTTGCACCCAGTTTGTCATCCACTTTAGATGGGCCCCCATAGGCCAGTGTAACATTTATTGGTTTTTTTAATAATAGTACCTTAATTTTAAGATTTCCAAAGGAATCCCTCATATTTTAGTAACGGCCAGTAGATGCCGCGATTCTTACATTTTATTATTGCTAATCTTCACCCCCATTAACTTGAGACAATTTCTCAAGAATTGAGGCCTAATGGTAGTTTAATGGGTATCCCCCATGAACTTTCAATGTTTTGCTGTAAACCCCAAGAAGTTTCAAAATCACACCAAACCCCTAAGCTTTTTTGGCTTTTGCAGAAAACCCCATGAAATTTCTGGGGTTTGTAGATAACCCCCATAAATTAGAACCAAAAAATAACATAAAAATACATTTTGAAAGTTTATGAAGGTATAAAGTAATTTACCTAAAAGTTCATGGGGATTTAATGTGATTTCAAAAGTTCACGACGCTTTACTACAAAACACTGAAAGATCATGGGGTTTTTGTGTAATTTACCCTATCAGTTTTAATGCTTTGCGGGTGTGTTCTGGTGTCGGGTATTTTTTGCAATTGTTTGGTAAGTTCGGACATGTGATACAACGGCCCGCAGCTCGTGGGGCGTGCTTTTGACTTGTCAAGCAAGTGTTCTTGGGACTTTGCCGGCAAGAGAGCCATTTTGGGGGGAAAAGCTTTGCGCTAATCATTTTTTGGGTTAATTTCCAAAAATCCCCCTTAACTAATCACTAGAATAAAAAAACCTCCTCTACTTTCTGAGACATCAAAGAACCCCCTTCTTATTCTTTTTGAAACTTTTGACTGACGGATGACTAATGACGTTAATCACTAAAATTTAATGACTAGTTTGCCCCTAAATTAATTACATCACAATAACTAACCCTAATTCTATTTTATTCATTTTATCCTTAACGCCTCTTCCTCTTCTAATCTCTCACCCAAAAAAATTGATCGGAGACTCTTGTGCGCAGCAATGACTTCTTGGAATATATCCACTTAATTAACAGAGTCTTATGTTTATGAAAGATGCCAAGGCTTTTGTTGACCAGTGCGTTTGATTATTTTGCAGTAAGTTTTTCATAGTTTTTTTTTTAATTTATAGAGAAAAAAATCTTGACCTAACTTTTCATAATAAATTAGATCCTTAATCAGTTAATCTCCAGAAGCTTATGAAAATACAAAGTATATTATGAAAAATCAAACAAATATTTGACTTTTTTGCGGCAAGGTTTAATTTCTAAGTTTTTTTTGGTACGGGATCTAAAAATTTATATAACGAACTCTATTTAATTGAGATATAATTATATTTACATTTACAAACTATAATGACAATCATAACTGATAGCTTCTCATTGTTTTATACATAGGTAGGTTTCTATGGCATCATTCACAAATTTGTTTACTTTTGAGATTCATCATGGCGGTTATTTTGACCAACGCCCTCCTACGAGACATATTAATGGAGAAATTCACTTAATGGACAACATTGATGAAGATGAAATTTTTTTGGTAACTAGGAATGTTATGAACAGTCTTGGATATGGTGGTGGATTTAGAGTTTTCTATAACATGCATGGAAAATCTCTTCAAGATGGTTTGCGACTTTGCTATGATAGCAAGACTCTTTACGATGCCTTTCAAGAACACAGGTGTACTACAAAGGTGATGCTTTATATCGAACATTTATCAGAAGGATTACCAACAGTTGAAGATGTAGAGTGAGGAACGAATTAATGAAGTCGGCCTTACGAAGTTTGGTGATTCAGACGAAAGACAATATCACTGATTCTAGTGGTGAAGATGATTTTCCTTATATTTGTAATGAGATAATTCAATCATATAGAGAATACTTCTTATCAAGCTCAAGAAGAGACACTAGTACAAAGAAGGCATGCCCTAACGGTTGTAACCGTTGGGGCTAATAGCATCCCCAACGGTTGGGGACCGTAGGGACAGAAAAAACACCCGTTACTGCAAGTAGCGTTGGGCCTGAAACTACTCCAACGGGTGTAAAATCTGCACCAACGGTTCCACCGTTGGTACAAGTAAAAATATAATTAAATATTTTAAAAAATTAAATTATGAAAAAAACAGCACCAACGATTGTAACCGTTGGTGCAAAAACAGCACAAACGGTTGTAATTGTTGGTGCAACATTTGCACCAACGGTTACAACCGTTGGTGCAAAGTAACAGCACCAACGGTTGTAACCGTTGGTGCTGTTTTTGCACCAACGGTTATAACCGTTGGTGCAAATATCGTGCATTAATTATTTCAAAACTTGCACCAACGGTTCCAACATTTGGTGCTTGTGTTTTTTCTTTTTTTCTTTTTTACTTTTGCCTACAACGTTTACATATAACATTTCCCACAAAAATATATGATATACCTGTTCACAACATATATATTCCCAGGCATAAAACAAAAGATTGACTTGAATCAAAATACAACAACTTATAAATTACTCAAGTCCCAAAAGAGGATATCTGAAATATACAAATGTCTTAAGTCAAGTCCCAAAAGAGGATATCTGAAATATACAAATGTCTTAAGTATGTTAATTAAAAGTACAAGTCACGACTGATTTAATCGAATATAATCAGCAAAAGACAAATGTCTTAAGTATGTTAATTAAAAGTACAAGTCACGACTGATTTAATCGAATATAATCAGCAAAAGCTTTGCGGATGTCCTCCTCGCTATAGCCCTCTTGTGTAAAGCTCCCTAAGACACCCCCCAACATGCCCCCCAGCACGCCTCCCAATCGACTAGCAAGAGAGTTTTGTGTCGAAATATCTTGAGGAGAACATTGAGTAGCAGATGTAGAACCCTGAGCATCCGGAGGATTATGAGCTAAAGTCGGGGGAGTAGTAGCAGGAACAACAGGTGGTGGACGAGTGGTCTGAGAATCAATCTGTAAAATGATACATGTAATAAATCGAATTCACACTAATTAAGTATATCCAAACTTGAAAACTTAAGTTTAATAAACAAGCCTTTTGTTGTATGAATAATTTATGACATCCATTGGTAGTGTTGAAGCATTTGCGACATGAACGCGGCTAACTAAGTATATCCAAACATGAAAACTCAGGTTTTTTTTGGTTTAAAACCGAGTTACTAAACAGTAGCTAATCATTTTCAAAATGCATTAATCATGCTATCAGACTATTACAAATTGTATAAAGATAAGACCTATTAGATCAATTCTTACCAATAAGTAACTCATTGTTTGGGTTTGGGTGTCAAATTTCAGATATTTAGTGGTTATTCAGTTGGATTAATTCTATGCAACAGATTTTTCATCTCTTGGTCAAGGCTTCTTCCAAGTATGATGGAACACCTATGAGTAACCTCACCTTCCACGTATCAATAGAACACTCAATAGACAATAGAACACTCAATAGACAGAATTAAGTATTATTCTTCTTTCCTGACACACGAGATGACAAGGTCCAGAAGCCACCACATGAGAATTGTTTAATGTCTGGTGGTGTGTCCTCAATAAGTCACTAATGAATTCCAATCATAAGAATTAAATAACGAGCTATTGATGCTTAGCTTAATTATAGATGGAACTCAAGATTTATAAGTAGCTCAGATGTTAGCTATAGATTCTTTTTTTTTTTTTTTGATAGAAAAACAAGGGATATACCCTGTTCAATTAAAGATAAAAGTATGTAATTACAAAAGTTTGGATACGAAGTGTATCCTGATGTTAGGTAACAGTAAGATTAGTTCACAATAACTAGGGATGTATAACCTTCTTCTTTCAAGGATCCATGAAGATGAAGAGAGGGCATTGCCGTCATTCACCGTTGACATAGATACAAGAAAGAACCAAAGCCAGCTATACATATAGTTATATGAACTAAAATACTGATGTCTAACATACTACAGAAGGATTAAAAGTTAATTATACAAAATATACAATAGTTATCTCCCAAAAAACCATCTAGACAAACTGTCCAAGAACATTATCAAGCACTGCTGCGGGGAATGGGGTTCTTATCCAGCATATCCAAGACTTGGTGAGCTTTTGTTCCCATTGTAGAACCTGTCCAGTCATATAAACATGAAATTGCCTTATTAATAACTGAGTTGTGACTAACATTTGCTTGATCAAAGAGATGTTTATTCCTTGCATTCCAAATACTCCAACAAACTGAAGAAAAGATTGTACACCATAAAAATCCTTTGGTACTCTGTAAGTTCACCAAGATTTGAATAAATTCTCCAAGAGAAGATGGCCAATGGAATGAGTATAAGTAATTTCTGAAATGATCCCAGACCTGTTTAGATAATGTGCAAGAGAAAAAAAGATGTTCTCTAGTTTCCAATTGAAGTGAACAAAAAGAGCATATAGAATCACCTTCCCAGCCTTTCTTCAAGAGATTCTCTTTGGTATTTAATCTATTGAGGCATAATAGCCATGTGAAAAATTGCACCTTACTAGGTAGTAATTTATTCCAAGAAAGATTATAAAAAGATGATTTGATGCCTCTCAAGATAAGAAATCTATAGAAGGAATTAACAGTAAAAATACCATTTGTTGTAAGAGACCACTTAGGTTGATCAGGCTGATTGTAAATATTGAAGCTCCTTAACACTTGTATCAGATCTATTCTATCAGTTTGAGAGGTATGAGATACACATCTTCTCAACAAAGGTCTCCATTGCCAATTATTCATATGATAGCAGCACTGCCTTTTTACGGATGAATTTGAAGCATATGAGAGATTTTGTAATGATGGATAAAGGCTAGCCAGAGAATTATTACCTGTCCATTTATCCTCCCAAAAACGAATATTATCACCAGAGCCAAGAGACCATATAACATGATGAAAGAAATCCTCTTTAATAGTCATGATATCATTCCAGAAAGATGAGTTTAAGGGGTTTGGTCTTAAAGATTGAAGAATTTTTCCTCTCCTTAAGTATAATTGATGAAGAAAAGAGCCAACAAACGAATTTCTATCAAGACATTTCCATAACCATTTAGATAAAAGAGTTTTGTTGAAAATATCAATATTCTTGACTCCCAGACCTCCTTCCATTTTACTTAAACAGACATCTTCCAACTGACCAAGCACTTAAGATTGTTAATATCATTTTTTCCTGTCCATAAAAAATTCCTTCTGATTTTGTCAATTTCTTTGATAAGCCATTTAGGTAATTTATAAAAAGACATGAAATAAAGAGGAATGGATGAAAGCACAGAGTTCAAAAGCACCAATCTTCCTCCAAAAGACAAATAATTCCTCTTCCAAGAAGCAAGCCTTTTGTGAATTTTGTCTAACAATGGTTGCCAATCTGATTTTGATAATTTCCCATATTTAAGAGGTAAACCAAGATAGTTTATGGGAAGAGATTGATATTTGCAACTGAGAGCAGATGATAAAAGAGCTCCTCTTTGAGAATTTTTACCAAAATAGATCAAAGATGATTTAGAATAATTGATTCCCAATCCAGAAAGTTCTTCAAAGATGTAAAGAATTGTTTTTAAAACAGAAATATCACTGAGAGAGCTCTTAGTGAAAATAATTGTGTCATCCGCAAATTGCAAACTCCTTATGTTATTTAAAGGTTCCTTAATACCAAGAGAAGATAAGGTACCTTCTTCCACATTATTAATAAGCATTCTTTGAAGAACATCAACTGAGATATTAAAAAGCATTGGTGATAGAGGATCACCTTGCTTCAAACCCCTTTTGCAGTTGAAAAATTTAGTGGGAGATCCATTGACTAAAATAGCACAGCTTGATGAGGAAATGACATTATGAATCCATGAGCACCATTTGGGACCAAAACCTCTTGCTTTAAGAAGATCAATGAGAAAAAACCAATCAACAGAGTCAAAAGCTTTTGTAAAATCAATTTTCAGCATGGAGACTTCTTTTTTCCTCTTAGAGCAGAAATGAATAAGCTCATTAGCCATCATTATAGAGTCTAATGTTGATTTCCCAGATTGAAAAGCAGACTGTGTTTGAGAAACCAAGGAAGACATGAAAGGTGATAGCCTTGAAGCAAGAATTTTAGTGAAAATCTTAAAAAGGCAGTTGATCAGACTGATTGGTCTGAAATCTTTAATCAAGGAACTACCTTTAATCTTTGGAATGAGGGTAATGTAAACCTTATTAATTCTGTGAAGATTGGATGGGTCATGATGAAAAGAATTCATCAAATTGATAAGATCATGCTTAATTACAGACCAAAAATTTTGATAAAAAAGCATTGAATATCCATCAGGTCCTGGAGCCTTATTAGGATTCATATTGAAAACTGCTGCTTGAATTTCTGCTTCTGAAAAAGGAGCTTCCAAGGAAGAAAGATGTAACACTTGATCAGGATATAAGCAAGACCAATCAATAGATAAATGACAATCCTTAGATTTGCCAAAAAGATTATGATAATAATCAAAGAAAGCTTGTCTGATCTCATAATCTCCAGCTAGATCTTGGTCTTGATGAGAAATAGATGTAATGTAATTAGACTTTTTGTGAAAAGAAGCCGTTTTGTGAAAAAATAAAGTATTTGCATCACCTTCCTTTAACCATTGAATCCTAGACCTTTGATGCCAATAAGATTCTTCCTCTTTAATAATAGAAATGTAGGATGATTGTAAAGCTTTCCTATCATTTAATTCCGAGTCCGACAAAGATCTAGATTCCTCAATCAAATCAAAAGATTGAATTTTTGAAAGAAGATCAGATTTTCTACGAGAAAGAGAGCCAAGAACATTTTTCTTCCACCATTTAATTCTTCTTTTTAAGAGCTTTAATTTCATAATGAATATATCCACAGGAGATCCCTGACATACGAAAGAATTCCATGATTGAGAAATGAAAGGAATAAAGTCCTTGCTATGAAACCAACTCTTTTCGAATCTGAATAAAGATATACTCTGTTTAATACCTCCACTATCAAGAACAACTGGAAAATGGTCTGATCCTAAAGAAGGTGGACAAAATTGTAAACATGAAGGAAATTTTCTTTCCCAATCAGGACAAACTAAGAATCTATCCAATTGTAAACATGAAGGAAATTTTCTTTCCCAATCAGGACAAACTAAGAATCTATCCAATTTAGCCATGGATGGGTTCAAACGTTTGTTTTTTTCTTTCCCAATCAGGACAAACTAAGAATCTATCCAATTTAGCCATGGATGGGTTCAAACGTTTGTTAGACCAAGTGAAAGCTCTACCACATAGTGGGAGGTCAATAAGAGAAGATGAGGAAATAAAGTGTCTGAAGGAATTCATGTCTCGAGAGGAACCAGAACATCCATATCTTTCATCTGAAGATAAAGTTGCATTGAAATCACCACAAAGAACCCAAGGACCTTGAAAAAGTTTGCAAATTCTATTTAATTCCCACCAACATACTTCTTTATCTTCTTTGTCAGTTGGTGCATAAACTGAAGAGAAAATGAAATTCCAGCTTGTTGGTTTGTGATGAAGAAAGACAGAGACTGAAAAAATACCCACATGGGAATTAATAAGATCAAAATCATTTGTCCATCCAACTATCACACCTCCTCTAGACTCAATAGAATCAAGACAACACCAGTTTTGAATCCTTCTTCCACCTATCGATTGCAATTTCCTATCTGATGACTTATTAAGTTTACTTTCTTGAATACCAATAATGTCAATGTCTGATGAAGTGATGAAATCTCTAACCAAACGTCTTTTGATGGGGTCATTGAGACCTCTAACATTCCAGGTTGATAGCTTCATAGAAAACAGATAACAAACAAAACTCCCACCATTACTTGAAAGAACAACTAATTAGCCCTGTATATTTAATTCAACCTCCTTCGCTTTTAATTTATCCAAAGACTGAGCAGATAAAGAAACCCCACAGTTTGTAGCTATTTCCTCAAGAACTTTATTGGGCAGAGAATGTAAAGGTAAACTATCAGAAGAAGAGGATAGATTTGATGTACCTTTCTTAACAGATTTGGAAATCCTTTTTCCTGATATTGCCTTGGTCATGAATCTCCTGTGCTTTTGACTCAGCACTGTCTTACGAGCACGAGAAGCTGACGATGAAATAGCCTTCTTGGAAAATCCAGGAGGAACTGAACTGGAACTATGCACAGCTGGAGTCTGAATAGAAGTTGGCGGGAAGGATGTAGATGATGAAATTGAATTTGAACCTCCCTCATTCCCGCCAAAGAAATTATCCCAAGTCGATTTCTCAATATATATAGTTTTCCCTTTCCAATTATGTTTGACCAAATCAAAAGGCAAATCTTGCAGAGGATCATATATAGAATCTGAATCAACGTTAGCAACTTTTTCCTCAATTAAAGCCTGAGAATCAGGAACATTGTTATTGTCCGTGATTTTAGCTAGAGATTCACCATTTACAGCAGCTACGGTAAGTTTTTGAAAAATTTCCTTAGAATTGCCTGAATTGACATTACTTTCCTCAATTCCTGCCACATTTGAAATAGAAGCATTGACTTGCTTACCCTTATCAACATTCATTCTTATTGACTGATTCTGAACCTGGTTTGGCAACAAATTCTCTGCATTCATTTCCGTAATTGGCGAAGATATTTGATCAACCCATTTTGAATCTAAAACTTCGTCACCCTGAGCTTGCAAAGCTGTTAGATGAGAACCAATGATTTCTGAACCCAATTGACCCACTCCTATTGGAATTAGCTCCAAGGAGACTTCTCTTGTGAATAGATCTACTTGAGATGTATATGAGCATATAATTGATTTCGGAATGCAGTCTGATGATTTTACTTTAACAAGAATGCGCACATCCTGACCATTAAGCTTTTCTGATATATTTTTGCATCCTCTAACTAATTCTCCAAAAGAACTAACAATCTTTTCCAGAATGTCCATTGACCAGAAATGTAGTGGCAAATTTTTGATCTTAATCCATTGATAGAAAGCAGAGTCTACAATCTTCATGCCTATACTCTCATTCCATGGTGCAAACCACCCCTTGAAGGCTTCGAAGTTTAGAATTTTTTCATCAACAGTCTCTGATAATTGAAAAATCGAAGGGAATTCCACCAAGTATCATAGAGAGCAAGTAGTGGGGGATTATGGTTTGAGCGCTGCAAGGAGAGGAGAAACTGTCTCTGAGGGGGTAAGGAGGAAAAAATTTGGTCAACAACAACATTGCCTTTTATCGGTTAAATGAATTATCATACGATCTTTGATTCAATCACATTGAGTCATCTCCTTTATTAAGTTTATCATTATCATATCAACATATAACCAAGCTTCGAAATAAGCTGAAGCCTCAAACAGTTGTTAAATTAAAAATATGAAGACATGTATGTTAAGCGTTTAACTATCCTAGGCCATAGTACAACTTAATACAGTTGTTATACATATGATATCTATATGCATATTAAAACAATGAAAAAAATATAATACAGTTCATATCTAAGAAAACTTTTCTATTGATTTACATGTATCGAGGAAGAAAGAGAAAGGAGAAAAAAATTGCATAGGACATTTGAATCAAGCAACAACACATATTAAATGTATATACAAGCTAATTAACCGAAAAAATGTAGGAGAGATCATTGAAGAAATATTGATCTAATGTTAATTCTGAGTTTGGATCTTGGACCTGAGAAAACAGTTCATCATTCCAATTCTAGGAATATAAAGATAAAATTATAGATTAATACAATGACATATAAGAAATTCTTACATAATTTTTAAACCAGGCACAAATTTTCTTGATGATGCTTCTCCAACCGTTCATCATTCCAATTGTGATGCTCTTCATGTAATTCATCCTTATGAATTCTATTCTCAACATGAATTGTTAACATCAACATTATATTATTTCATGCATACGTACACATATATAGTTTGGTATAAAGAAATTTTATTTACTTGTTTAAATTTAATCACAATTTTCATAAATGTGAAACATGCCTAGTGCATCAAATATTTATTGTGTATGAAATTTTCACATAATATATGCTAATTACCGGTTATATTTCAAGCAGTAAAAGAATATAGCAAAAATCTAACACCGACTACCAATTACCTCTTAGAAATTAAATGATAACTGGACAATTAAAAATTAAAAACCCGATCTAGACATTAGCTTGAATTAACACCGTTACGCATTGCCTTAAATTTCAAATACAAGAATCTTGAGACTTGGATCCATTTTGTCTACAAATTATTCATAATCCACTCTCACAGATGTGTAGATACAATAAAATCAAACATATGCAATGGACCTCAAAGGATAATATATGCCAATTATCGGTTATATTTCAAGCAGTAAAAGAATATAGCAAAAATCTAACACCGACTACCAATTACCTCTTAGAAATTAAATGATAACTGGACAATTATAAATTAAAAACCCAATCTAGACATTAGCTTGAAATTAACACTGTGTGACAGTTACACATTGCCTTAAATTTCAAATACAAGAATCTTGAGACTTGGATCCATTGTCTACAAATTATTCATAATCCACTCTCTCAGATGTGTAGATACAATAATAATCAAACATATGAAATGGACCCCACAGGATCTGTTTTTTTTTTGGGTTTGGTGGAGTGGGGGTAAATTAACAGAAAAAAATGGGCCTCCTTGATATCATGTGCAATGTACAGGGGAAATATGCACTTGCTGGCTCGGAGATCAGATATCTGTCGAACGCCAAAGTTCTCTTCTCCCACATTGTGGAGGCATCATCTGATATATTCAGGTAGAAGAATATTCTGAGAAAATGTGTAAACATTTCAATAGCAGTCATAGATGCCAATTGTTAATCTCTCAGTGTTGGTACCAAAAATTTTCCCACATAATTTAGGTCCAATTATTGAGTCATTTAGGTCCAATTATTGAGTCATCAAGCAGATTTAATTTAGGTCCAATTATTAGAGCAACATCTCACATGCTACCGTTGTAAAACTTGGATTGCTTCAGGTTATGAATAGCCACTAAATGAAAGGAGAGGCCATTGAGAATTGACAGCCACTATTATCTCTAGGAGCACAAAGCTATTAGGTTAATTGGACGGTACAAATTGGAGTCACATCTACCAGTAAAAGGGAATTAAAAGTAACAATTATATGGAACACAGTATGTAACATATCACATACAACATCTGCATAAGTTGCTTCACTGACCTGGTTAGCGGCTAGTTCAACTCCAATCTACAATTAATGTACACAACACTGACGCTTATCTTCCCAGTCACAACCAATGCACACTGTTGGGTTTTCTTAGCTCAATTAATTTAGATATCTAGACTAGTGATCTCTTGTAGACATTTATATAGAAGCCTGGCAAATGTCACTAAGAAGTCTGCAAATATTTACGACATACATGAGGATTTAGGTATGAATTTAATCACAATTTCCATAAATGTGAAATGTGCCTAGTGCATCAAATATTCATTGTGTATGAAATTTTCACTAGGTTTCTATGGTGAAGAATTTGGTGTCTATGAAGGTTAGTCTCATGCATTCAAGAAAATAAGTCATCAATGGGTCATAAGAAAGTTGTCTATGAAGGTTAGTCTCATGCATTCAAGAAAATAAGTCATCAATGGGTCATAAGAAAGTGGATAAATCAAATTTAACACAAGCAGTCCAATTTCAAAGAAAATAAGTCATCAATGGGTCATAAGAAAGTGGATAAATCAAATTTAACACAAGCAGTCCAATTTCATTGATATTAATGGTGCATCATTTAGCTTACTAGTCACACATGAGATTAAGATCATATGAGCTACTACAATTTTTTTTTTCAACGTAGATTACATGTGCATATTAGTCAATAAGAGGCAATGATGCATGCCTCACTTACAGATGAAACCATTAGTCAATAAGAGGCAATGATGCATGCCTCACTTACAGATGAAACCATTGACCTTGTCCAAAAAAACTGGGGACAAATCATGATATGACCACTCACTTCATATGTTTGTCCAAACGGACAGTTCGAACACTTAAACCATCAAAAATGTTGAGGTCTAATTCACGTCACGTCAAAAGATTAATATCCTGTATTGAGCAACACACCAACACAGAAGGCAAATGTGGTCCTCAAGGTGATGTATTATTCACCTGTTAATACTTAATAAGCTTGACCTTGTTGGTGATTTGATTCTAAGCCTAGCCAACAAAGATGTGATCTGAAGGGATATTAGTTTTATTTATTTCTCATACCAACTGGTATAAGCAAGGAATTAATCATCAGCAGCTTAAATAGCAAACAGTTTAGATAAGCTCATAAAGAATTATGAGACTTGACAACTAAAGCTTCTTTAATGGTTCAACAAATTTTGACACTGTTTTAATAAGCATTCAATTAGCATTCAATAAACCATAACTCTTAATAGACTACATGCCATCTATCTGCAGCTTGAAGTCGTCACTTTGAATTCATCAGCACCCTTCATATATCTAGTACAGAATTAAGTGCAAGAGACCAAACCACTTGAAAACAAAAAGAAGTTATCAATCAGCAATCATGTAAATTTCAATGTAGAGGACAGAAGGCAGGAAATAGCAATCAGAAAATAAATTCAGCTGTATGGTAAAAGAATGTAAAGCTAAAATAAGATCAGGTATAGGGTAAAAAATGTGAAGCTATCTTTATTAACATACCTATTACTATTTAAAGAGAGAGGCAAGAAATAGACATGTACCTTTCAATGTATAGGACAAAAGGCAGCAACGACGAAGGAGGAGGAGGAAGAGGAGCTCGAATCTACTACTGAAGGAGGAGCTCGAATCAGAGGAGGAGCTCGAATTAGGGATTTTAGGGGAGGCGGCGGCGGCAAGAGCTCTGACGATGAGAGGAGGGAGGTGCTTGTTTTGACGAGAGAGAGGGAAGGAGGGAGGGCGGTGCTGGTTTTGGCGACAAGAAAGGGAGGGAGGCGGAGAGTGAGCTCTGACGACGACGATGAGAGGAGGGCGACGGCGATGGATTTGGCGAGAGAGAGCGAGGGTGGGAGGGAATTAGAGAGAGATCGGAATTTTTGGGGGCAAATAAATTTTAGGGCTGCTGGGCGCGCGGGCTCAATTAATCCCTCCGATTTTTTTTGGGAAAAATTGAATTGCCCCAACGGGTAAAACCGTTGGTGCTGATAAAACTAGCCCCAACGGTTCCTACCACCCGTTAGGGCTGCTCATGATTGTACCAGTGAGACTTATTCTAAGTAACCGGGCAGATAAAAGAAGGCATGCAAATGGGCATGTGGAAGGAAAACCTAGCAAGTAGTGAAGTAGATTTATGTAGAGAGTTGACTGAACATGCATATGAAGACTTGGATAGAGATGAAGAGCAGCATCAACCACTTGAAGGTATCTTACCTGAGAATGTGGAGATTAATTTTGTACCCATCCCAGAAGTGGAATCTGAATATGAGGGTAGTGATACATTAAGAAGCTTATATAGTGGATAGTGATGAAGAACATGAATGTGAAGATAGATACCCGAATGCGTCTCAGTTTAACATCAATGAGAAACCTATGCTTGAGACTGACGTGAAATTTACATATCATAAAGCATTCAGAAGAGCACTACAACAATATGCCATTTTGAGCAGACTTCAATGTAAGTATACAAAGAATGAGAAAAGGAAGATCTCAGTCCATTGCATATATAGGAAGAAAGAGAATGGAAATTGGATAGGTTGTGAATGGGAAGATATATGGATTTTAGAATAGAGAGCAAACATTTTTTTTTCAAATCCAGAGCTTCAATGATAATTGCCAATGCCCTAAAGTGACAAAAAATAGAATTGCTAACTCATCTTGGTATGCAGAAAGATACATGGAGCAGATAAGGGATGATCTGTATTGAAAAGTGAATTTAATGTCTGAAACTGTTGTGAGAGGCTTGGAGTTCGATGTTGCCAAGCAACAAATGTATAGAACAGGAAGAAAGGCACTAAAGATGGCTTGGAGCAATTTGTCAAGCTCTGGGATTACACTCATATTCTTTTGGAGAAGAATCCTGGATCTATAATTGAAATGAATGTTGAGTTAGAAGGAAACAATAAGCATCCTACATTTCAAAGATTATTCATTTCTTTTGCTGGTTGTATCAAGAGATTTTTTGGAGGGTTGAGAAGCAATCTCAGTCTCATTTTATTCAGTGTAATTGGAACAGATCCAAATAACCAAATGTGCCCTATAGCAATAGCTCTAGTTGATGGTGAAACAAGTAAGATATGGTGTTGGTTCAAGGACTTGTTATTAATAGCACTTGGTGGAATAGAAGACAAACATGTTACATGGATATTTGATAGACAAAAGATAGATTAATTTTTTGGTTTAAATTTTAAATCATTATTTCATACATTCAAGTAATATGTGTGTGTGATAACTTATAGATAACTCGTATTTCTAGTACTGAATGTTTATAATATTTATAATATATTATGTTTTAGCTATATCAAAAATTTCATAAATTAAACTGATTTTCAGTTCTAGTATACATAACTTGTTGATGTATCTCTCTTTTCTTTCCTTTTTGCTTAGAATCACAATGATGCTTGAACTTAGGATTTCTACATTCTTAAAAGTCACTTTCTTAACTTCTACATTCTTAAAAGTCACTTTCTTAACTTGAAGACTAATTGCTATTGAATTTGATGCACAAGACTATCCAATTGAGAATAAGAACTCTAATGTTTGATGACTAAAGAGACTAGTGTTTTTTAGGAGGTCAAAAGAACTTAGAGTTAATGGGAATCTATTTCAAGTTTCACAGTAATTATTTCATTAGCTTCCTCATGTGGTAATTGTTGATTTCATATGTAGGATCTTTTTACAAATGTTTGAAAAACTTCTTTCAAGAACAGAGCATAGATTTTGTGCACAACACTAGTTGTATGCCAATTTTAGATATGTTTGGTATAAGGTAAAGAAACAAAAAGAGCTCCTTTGACAAGCACTCACATCATACACATTTGATTTTCAATACTATATGGACAAGATACATAAATAAAAACCCAGAAGCTCACAAATACTTACTTAATATTAGAGATAAGATGTGGACAAGATATGCATTTAGTATCATGTCAAGATTTGATCTTCTTTGTAATAATATATCTAAATCATTTAATAAGTATACAAGAGATGCTAGAGAGAAGCTAGTGACTACAATGCTTGAAATGATAAGGAAGCTTATGATGAAGAGAATACGAAGTTAAGGAGAAGATGAAGAATCACATGGGCAGAGTTTGTCCATGACCTGAAAAGAAGCTAAGCCAAAATCATGAGCGATGCAACTCATTGTTCATATGTATGTGTTGGAAGTGGACAACATGAGGTGACATATGGATGAGACTCAGGTGGTAAACCTAGTGAAAATGATACGTCAATGTGGGGTGTGGGATCTTTCAGGCATTCCTTGTAAACATGCAGTTTGTGTTATATTAGCGGGAAATAGAAATGTTGCTGATTTTGTTCATCCCTACATGCGCAAGGATACATATATGAGAGCTTATGCATATATGATTTCTCCATAGCCAGATTCTGGGCCATGGCCAGAGACAAAGAAGGGAATAATCCTACCGCCTGCTTATAGTTCTATTCCTGGAAGACCGGCTAAAGAGGGGAAGTAACATCCTGAAGTGTACAGCTGGTTACAATGTGAGATGCTCCAAATGCCTTTAGCTCGGACATAATGTAAGAAAATGCACAAAAACAGCTCCTCCAAAGCCTTCAAGTTCC